TTTTTTTGTTTTTGTTTTCGGTAGGGGATGGAAATGCGTGTTGTGTGTTGGACCGATTTTCATTCTAATTAACAGTAATCCGAGAAACAATGTGACAGAGTGGTTAAACTATTTGACTTGGAATCAGGAAGACATGGAGTCGCATCTGGCTTCTGACACTCTTTTAGTTACATGATCATGGGCAAATCACAACCACTCTGAGCCTGTTTTTTCATCTGCAAAACAGGGGCAATAATACCTTTCTCACAGTGTTCAAAAGATATAAAGTATGAAAAGCATCTTGAAAACCTTAGATAAGTGTTGGTGTTGTTTTTGTTTTTGTTATTTATTCTTTTTAAGCTTAGGAAGATTCTAACAGAGACCTATGAACAGAGGGGAAATGTGTCAGTTCTATAATTCACTTATCCTCTTTCCTTGCCCCACCCAGGTGTCAAGTACTAAGTTGTGCACACAGAAGAAACCCAATCAGTGCTTTCTAGGTAAATGAACAGAATAAAAAATGATTAGAGTAAAGTGGAGTCATAGCACCTTTACCCTAAGTAGCCACTTGTCAGTAATCTGAGATACTGAAAGGCAGAAAAGAAGAAAGGGCATGGAGAATTGAAATACAATGTATGTATCTTGTACGTTCCTGTTATTGTTAAGTCCTTTTCAGTCATGTACAACTCTCCATGACCCCATTTGGGGTTTTCTTGGTAGATACTGGAGTGGTTTGCCATTTCCTTCTCTAGCTCATTTGACAGATGAGGAAACTGGGGCAAACAGGGTTAAATGCCTTGTCCAGAGTCACATAGCTAGTAAGTATGTGAGGCCAGATTTGAACTCAGGATGATGAGTCTTCCTGACTTCAAGCCAAGAACTTTATCCATAGTGCCACCTAACTGCCCCTGTATATACCTACTTACATATTTTTTTCCTTTATTAAAATGTCAGCTTCTTGTTTGTAGGGACTGTTTTGCCCTTTCTTTATATATCTAACGCTGAGCATAGTGCCTGGCATCTAGTAAGCTGTTAATGTTTGTTGATTGAATTTACCATTCTCAGTTTAGATGATTGTTTCAATTCAACTAATTTTTATAAAGCACTTACTCTGTACCAGGGACAAGAAAAGAAGGAAAGAGAGAGGGGAAGAAAGAAAGAAAGAGAGAAAGAGAGAAAGAGAGAAAGAGAGAAAGAAAGAAAGAAAGAAAGAAAGAAAGAAAGAAAGAAAGAAAGAAAGAAAGAAAGAAAGAAAGAAAGAAAAATTATTTTGCTTCTTTATCTGCACTGGTCCTAGAGTCAGAAAGACTTTTGAGTTCAAATCTATCCTCAGGCACTCACTACTATGTGACCTTGGGCAAGTCATTTGACTTTTGCCTGCCTCAGTTTTCTCATCTGTAAAACGGGGATAATAATAGGACCTTCTCCCAGGGTTGTTGTGAGAATCAAATGATATAATGTTTGTAAAGGTCTTAGTACAGTGGCTGGCATATAATAGGTACTTTATGAATGCTAGTTATTATAATCTACTATGTCACCTAGCTGCCTTTTGAAAAAGACCCTAGAACAGACAGGATAAAATGTCAGAGCTTAGAAAGACCGTAGAACTTAGTGAATAGAAATGTCAGAGCTTATCAATCAAACCCTTTAAAAAAAACCAATGAGGAAACTGAGGCCCAGGAGCGAAGGTGACATGCTCAATGTAAAGTGTCATGTTGTGACACAGTGTGAATTTAATCTCATGTCCCCAACTCAACTCAATAACTTTTTTACCACAGCATCATGAGTGGACAAGAGGAGGGAGAAGGAAGATTAGCAAGAAGCCTAGATAATCTACTAACTAGATAACCAGCATCTAAAAATTAATAGTTGACTATTATTATTTCAATTATTTTACCTGAGTTGACCACATATGACTTATATGTTACCTACAGAAGGAATAAAATTATAACTATAGCCATTGATGGAGTGAAAGTCCATTAAAGGTAAAGTCATTGCTAAGAATACGGCTGTTAAGTATCAGTTATCCATCCATCTAGATTCACAAACTAGAGAGTCTCATACCCTTCTCTGGTTTGGTCACACGATATTCTAGTAGCAGGACTTAAAGATCACAATTGAAGAGGAAGTTCAGAGATTGGCATTCTCGCCCATCTGAGCTCTTGGAGAGGAAGTACAGAGTGAAAGTTCATTACTGAGGCCTAGTACAGGGTCCTTTAAAAGCTGTTGGTGGGGTTTTCATGTGTTGACACAGAAGCAATCCTTTTATTCTATCTGTAGCTCCATGGATATCATTTGTCTTGAATATCATGGCAAGTGGTGAAAGGAGGAAGAACTGGAATGGCAAGGCTGAATGATTTCATCTGCCATGATCATTGGCTAAATGATCTCTTTTATCATTCCAAAATTCCTGAGCTGCCATACCAGGTAGATCCTGCTTAAGTTCAACTGGTTATGGTGTTGGGGGGAAAGGAGATTTCAGATCAAAAAAGATAAAACATCACATGTACTCTGTGCCAGGGATTATGTTAGGACAAACACACACCCATGCACACAGATATATTACAGGTGTATTTTAAAGGGATTTTCCCCATCAGTCAAGAATGGGCTTTTGCCACAATAAACCATTACTACACAAATTCTAATATTCTGTGTCATAACGAGCAAAAGAAATGGAGAATGAAAGAGCCTTTAAGAGAGTTACGAAATACCTAGATAATGACAAGCAAGATCTGGGTAGTTAGTTATTGATTTTTTTAAACCTCACTACTTTGAGGATTCTTGTTCTCCTCAATATGGATCTCTCTTCCCTCACCATGCAGATCCCAGAACCTCTCTCCTCTTCTCTACCTTTCTTATAGCTCCTCATAGTGGAGTCACATCCCTCTTCTTCGTGGTGCCTTTTATATAACACCACTCCTTTCATGTAAGTTACTATTAGTGATATATTTCAGTGTATTTATACCCGTCATGTGTTGGGGATAAAATGTGGTTTTACTACTTAAAAAAATAAAGATTTGCCTTTCTAATTATGTTTAGGATCTTAGGATCATAGTTTTAGAGTGGGTAGAGACATTTTATAGGTGAGGAAACTAAGACACAAAGAGGTTTAGTGATGTGCCCAGGGTCACAAAACTAAAGTGGAATGATAAAAGAGAGCATTTAGCCAATGATCATGGCAGATGAAGTCATTCAGCCTTGCCATTCCAGTTCTTCCTCCTTTCACCACTTGCCATGATATTCAAGACAAATGACATCCATGGAGCTACAGATAGAATAAAAGGATTGCTTCTGTGTCAACAGAAACCCCACTACTCAGACCTTCTGTCTCAATGCCCTAGCCACTGTACTACATTGACTTTCTTTTGCTGCTGCTAAGACAGATATTAAGCGAATGGGGAGTGAGGAAAAGAAGCATACAGATGATACTGACGAGGAAATGAGGAATATTGCTTGTCAGTCTCAAAACAGAAAAGCATTAAGAGTGACCTTTCTCCACATTACTAATACAACACGTCTAATTGCCTCTAATCTTCATTGCCTGTTGTTTGTGTAGATACTACATAAGGTTTTAACCCCAATTCCCACCCAAACACAAACATGTCCTGCCCTGCTACAATAGCAATCGTTTTATGAGATCCATGTCTCATCTGTTTAGGCCCATTATCTCCACTGGTGGAGATAACCCATCCATTCCTTCTTATGCTGTGTAATTCTTGTCCACATCTATAATCCTTCCATAAAATTTTTACCCAACACACTGGGAGATTCTCAATTAGTTTTTTTTCCCTTTTTTAAAAACATTTTGCAGCAACCAAAAAACCCACTAGTCCACAGCCCTCTGCTCATGACTTTCCATAGAAACCTCCCAACTAAGGAAGAAGGCTCAATTGAACTGAGTGACCTCAGAAGGTGATGATCCCAGTAGTGAGAATGCTTCTGAAACACACCTCTGGCCCTCAGTCCTATTGCTGCCACTCTCTTCTAATTGGTATCTTTCTGTGCTCAGGTGGTATCACTAAAAGCTACTGCTTTGGGATTAATTCTCAGTCTGGTCTGGGGCCCTCAATATCTTTCCAAGGTGGAAGGAGCTCAAGTTGGCCAGGGCCTTTAGCCTCCCTGTTGTCCATGAATTGAAGTCTGGGAGCATCTTGGTAGATGATAGAGAAGACAAATGTCAGGGCTGTCTGGCACTCCCTGCAATGAGACTGAAACATCCCCAAGCTTTGCAGTTTGCTTTTGGTGACAGTATTCCTGGGGGAGGACTGATCCTATTTTTTTATAACATTTGTTATTTCCCCTTAATTTCTTTCAGTAAGCATATACTTTGTGTTGAAAATGCATTTCTTCAGAGTAATGGGGAAATGGGAAAAATGTGTCTAACCCCATAGAGCTTTCAACTTCAAGACCCCAACTTAAACTCACAAAGCAAAGACATATGCAGTTAAGGCTGACAAGCATTTTATTTTGAAAGTTTGAAAAGAGAATCCAATCAAAACAGAATAACATCCAGGGGGAAAGAAATCATGTTTAGGAAATCAGTCCATTCCAAAGATACAGAAGAAAACTAAAAATGATTCTTTGGTTTCTGTATCCCTGGTGATATTTCAGCAATTAGACACTCTTCTTCAAAGAAACTTTAAAAATGATGCCCTGGAAAGAAACCTTATCAGACAGGTTTCAACTTGTAGCGGAGATGGGCTTTGTTTTTATTTTGCTTTGTTTATGGCTGAAACCATAAGCAGATAATGGGAAGCCTGACCAAGGCTTAACTAGAGCAGAACACTCAGGGCCCTCACTGCATTAACTGCCTATAAAAAGAAGGGGCCTCTTACTCTTTCAGATCTCCATTGTTTTAATCAAAACATTAAACGGTTTAAAGATGCATTTGCATCTGCACTTAGTTTTATGGGCCTGTCAGGCTGCTTTGCAATTGAATTATTTGTTTGACTTGGACTTTGGGGCTTCATGAGCTGTAACACATATTTAAGCCAAGAAGCTAATTTTATTTTTCCAAAATGTGGGTGATAAAAGCAAGAGGAAGCAGAGAGACACTCATTGCCTGTTCCTGGAAGAAGAAAAGAAAAAAAGGCAGCTGAGCATCTGAGTGGAGTGTAAAGAGGGCAGAACCTCAGGGAAGAGCAGCAGCCATTGTGATGGGAGGACAGCTCAACCTCTAACCTGCTTTTTGGAGGCCTGGTTTCTCTCTCTTTCCTGGGCCACAAGTAGGACATACACAGGATTTCCTCCCTCTGTTACATGTAGGAGTCACCTACATATACAAAATGAGGTAGAATGAAAAAATTATTAGAATATTTCAGTTTAAAGTCCTTCCCTGACTTGTATATGCATGATTAATATTAATTTCACCATATGCTGCTTTGAAAGAACTAGGACTGCCAATCTTGAACTATGATAAGATTGCTTGCCCTGAAACCAGGGACACCCCTTTTGGTAACCACTACTCATGTGACTAAAGAAATGGGATAACAGAACTCTGTGACCATAGCAGAATTATAGAATTTCAGAGTTGGAATGGACCCTCACTGCCATCCAGTCCCATCCACTCGTGAAAGGAAAACCTACTTTAATATACCCGACAAGTAGTCACCCAGCCTCTTCTTGAAGACCTCCAGATGGAGAAGACCCCATCTCTAGAGGTAGTTCATTCTATGATTAAAAAGCTCTAGTTGTCAGAAAGCTTTTCCTGACATCTGATCCAAGTTGTCCTTTTTGCAACTTTGCAAACTTTTGCTATTGGTTCTGTAATACTTGAGTGAATCTGTATGTCAATTTAGGCCCATCATCTCCACTGGTGGAGATAACTCATCTATTTCTTCTTATCTTGTGAAATTCTTGTCCACTTCTTCTCTAATTCTTCCATAAGGTTTGTACCCAATACACCAAAAGCTTCCCTCTTAGTTTTTTTTAAACATATTACAGATAATAGTACAACATCTAGGTTAGTTCTCATTCTTGCTACATGACTGGCTCACTTTCTTTCCTGGTCATATGGTGTTCATAATGTTCCTTATGCCTCTTCCAGTGCACATGTCATTGTTGATAATGTGCATCAACTGACATGCACCCACTATACAACTTTCCATTACTTTTTGGGTCAACTTTTTTTTTATTCTCCTGATGTTCCATGGTTTGCAAGCATATAACATCACCCAGAACATGAGAATTACCCAAAGAACAATGGCATGTGTGAATTATGAAGAAAAATGATGTAAAGCTCATCATCAAAAAAAGAAGTTCACCTAGACCAATAGTGAGAGTAGGTAAAAACAATGGAACATTCCATGATGTCAGAAGAACTTAAGAAAGAGTCCCCTGGCATATTAGGTGGATGCCCTATAGTTGATTTATAAGGGATGTGAGCAAAAGGAGCACAGGGCAGGTAAAAGGGAATGGTTGCAAACTCCATCATTGAAGAAAATATCCACACTGATGTCATCACAGATCCATTTGAGTTTTGAGTAGTAAGAGAAATAGTATTCATATTAGTGATAAAAAAGATCATATTTTGCAGCGGCAAGCACCTTTGTTGGCATCATTGAAAGTGCTATGTGATCTAGCAAAAATTTTCCCCTTTTGTCAAATTTAGTCAAAAGTTTGCCTTTTTGTCTATCTTTTGCTTCTAAATAAATGATGCACTAACTCAATAGGTTGCATATTCAATTATATTCCATAATTGGGTAGCATACATTTTCAATCTGCTTTCTTTTTTCCATGTAGCTGGATGGGTCTATCTCTTTTAAATGACAGTATATCTCATTGACGTGGCTGCTATTGTGTACAAAGTCCTCTTGGTTCTGCTCACTTCACTCAGCATCAGACCATATAAGTCTTCCCAGGTTGTTCAGAAGTCAGCCTGTTCATCATTTCTTATAGCACAATAGTATTCCATTATATTCATATACCACAACTTGCTCAGCTATTCCCCAACTGATGGGCATCCTCTCAATTTCAAATTCTTTGCCATCACAAAAAGAGCTGCTATGAATATTTTTGTACATGTGGGTCCTTTTCCCATTTGTATGATCTCTTTGGGATATAGCCCTAGAAGTGCTATTGCTGGGTCAAAGGGGTATGCACATTTTTATAGCCCTTTGGGCATACTTCCAAATTGCTCTCCAAAATGGTTGGATCATTTCACAACTCCACCAACAATGCATTAGTGTTCCAATTTTCCCACATCTTCTCCAACATTTATCATTTTCTGGTTTTGTCATCTTGGCCAATCTGATAGGTGTGATGTGGTACCTCAGAGCTGTTTTGATTTGTATTTCTCTAATCAATAGTGATTTAGAACATTTTTTCATATGACTATAAATGGCTTTAATTTCTTCATCTGAGAACTACCTGTTCCTGTCCTTTGACCATTTATCAATTGGGGAATGACTTGCATTCTTATAAATTTGGCCTAATTTTCTATATATTTTAGAAATGAGGCCCTTATCAGAGAGATTGGTTGTAAAAATTCTTTCCCAATTTTCTACCTTCCTTCTAATCTTAGTTGCATTGGCTTTGTTTGTGCAAAAACTTTTCAATTTAATGTAATCAAAATTATCCATTTTGCTTTTTGTAATGTTCTCTATCTCCTATTTGGTCATGAATTCTTCTTTTCTCCATAGATCTGATAGGTAAACTATTCCTTGCTCTCCCAGTTTGCTTATAGTATCAACCTTTATATCTAAATATTGAACCCATTTTGACTTTATTTTGGTATATGGTGTGAGATTTGGATCAATGCCTAGTTTTTGCCATACTCTTTTCCAGTTTTCTCAGCAGTTTTTTTCAAAAAGTGGGTTCTTATCCCAGAAGCTGGGGTCTTTGGGTTTATCAAATAATAGATTGCTATAGTCATTGACTACTGTCAGACATCCTCTTAAAACAAGGTGTCAAACATGTGGCTTGTGGGCTGCATGTGACCCACAATGCTCCTGAATGAGTCCCTAACCAGATTAAAATATAATTGGGAAATATTTAACAAAATAAATAAAATACAATAAATCATAGGTAATATTACATTTTAAAACTAAGTCAATATGCAGCCTACAGGGATCCTTACATATGGATTAATTGCCTCCATTTCTATTTAAGCCTGACACTGTTGCTCTAAGATGCTGATGAACACTTTTTATGATGTGTAGTCTCCGGTTTTATGCTTTATGCTGATACTCCACAGATTCATAAACACAGTGTCATCTCTGTCATTGCTTCTGTCATGGAGATAATGCCACGTGCTGATCAATTGGAAGAACTAAGGATACTTAGCCTAGAGAACAGAAGGTTGGGGGGAGAACAAAATTCAAGTATTTGAAGAGTTGTCATGTGTTAAAGGGATTAGATATGTTGTTATTTGTGATTACAGAAGACAGAACAAGAAGTGGATGGAAGTTGCAGAGAGGCCGTTTTAAGCTTGATAGAAGGAAAAATTGCCTAACAATTTGAGCCACTCCAAAGTAGAATGGGATGCCTTGGGAAGGAGTGGATTTCCTCTTACAAGGTGCCTCTGTGTGAAGGCTAGAGAACTCCTTATTTGATATGTTTTAGCAGAGATAATCACCAGGCATGGATTATACCAGATAGACACTGAGGCCTTTTTTTTTTTACTATGAAGTTCTGTGGTTTATTTTGTTAGTAATATGAATAAGGGGAGACCTTATTTAACAAGTGTCTTTAAGGCTGCTTTAAGATTTACCAAGTTAATTGATCCTTTGTAATCAACCAGCAATAGATAAGGCAGGTTCTTATGTGCTGTACATCTGTCAATGAGGTGTGACTGTGGAGATCTGACCTACTGTAGAAAATCTCCAACAAGATACTGCCAGTTCCTATATGATACTTTTTTTTAATCAAAGGTATTTTAATCAAATATGTTTATGGGGCAGTATCATAAAACTTTTATTGACGTGAGAGAATAGGTATACGAGGCAATAATCCTTGGTGTCATTTGGGTCAATTTTTTTTTTGGTAAATGGTACTTTTTGTGATCTTTTATATTTCCTTTAAAATTTTTCTTAAAGATATCTTGAAAATAAGTTACCAAGTGTCCTTAAAATCCTGTCAGTTCTAGGATGGTCATCTTCTGTATGTTGTTAAGAATATGCCTGCTTTGGCAACAGTCTTGATTATCAACTACTATCCAGTTACTCAATTTCAGTTTCAGTGAGAGAAGACATAATAACTCACCTTTGCTCCAGCCAAAACAATGGATGGATTCCAATGAGTCATATTGACTGGATTGAGGAGGTGGTCTGTGATATTAACAGGGCAAGACCTCATTGATTCAGAATTGACTTGTCTTATAGAAAGGGACACCTCAACTGACCTTTAGGCCTGATCCATAAAGTTTGGAATTCAGATGGTGTTTTATTAGTGACAGTTATGAAGACAGAAAAGCTAAGCAGCCTACAGCATAGAAAAACAGAACAAGACTAGAAAAGAGCATGTGGCCAATGAAAAGTAGAAGTATTAGTTAGAACTTAAGGGTAATATCCTGAGAGTTCTCTTTTCTTGTTATTTTTTTCTTTGCTTCTTCCTGGTAGGCAAAGAAAGACTCCCAGGTTCTTTCATTATTCCCTGATGGCTCCCATTGGAAGCCTCTCTAGGCCTTAAAAAAAAAAAAGGTAGCACGTAGTAATCCATCCCTGTCTTTTTTCAGGAATTCTTCTATAATATATCTTTAGGTTCCTATTAAAGATCGTATTTTCAGCTAATAGAAATTACTTTGCTAAGCTGTTTTCATTCTTTTTTTCTTATGCATTTAATTATCAACAAAATGCACATTTTGTTATACAAAGAATAAAAGAGAGGGTTATATATGAAGTTGTGAACTTGTTGAATAATTTCAGAAATATGTAGTAAATCAAACACTACTAAAAATTACAATTTGTGTCTCCTGAACTCTTTTTGTTTTCTTCTATGTGTTTAATTGATACTCTTCTTTGATTTGCATCTCTGTCATTGCCCACTAACTCACAACTCCCCCAAATAGAAACTCGTCCTTTTAACAAATAAGTGTAAAGAATCAAAACTGTTCAATGCATCAGAGGTATCTGTAAATGAATGTCTTATTTACCAAATCTGATCTATCACCTCTCTCTGCCAAGAGGTGAGTGTTATCAGTTTACATCAATCTTCTGAAGACATAATTAGCCAACACCTTGATCAAAGTTCTATAGGCTTTTATAGTTTTTTTCTTTTAAATTATAGTGTTCATCATGTAGATTGTGCTGCTTTTTCTGCCCTTTTCCTTTTGTATCAGGTCATTTAAGTCTTCCCATGTTTCTCCAAATTTATTAAATTCATCCTTTCTTAAATTTCTATGATATTCTATAATATTTTTAAACCACAATGTATTTAGCCATTCCAAAATTAATGGGCACCCACTTTGTTTCTAGTTCTTTGCTGCAACAAAAAGTGCTGCTGTAAATACTTTTATGCATATAGGTTCTTGAACCTTGTCTTTGACATCTTTAGTAGAAGTACTGCTTGGTCAGAGAATATGTACAATATAATAACTTTTTTTGTGTATGTTTCCAAATTGCCTTCCAGAGATGTTGGACTAATCCATAGCTCTATCAAAGGTACATTACTATTCTTGTCCTCCCACAGCCTCTCCAACAGTGGCCATTTTCATTTTTAGTCATGTGCTTGATAGCTGTCATTAAATACCTCCCTCCAACAAAATTATCTTTACTAAAAGATCCCAAAGGTAGAGATATTATTGGCCTTTAATGGACTTGGAGTACTCCAATATTATTAATAATTTCTATGGCTGAGTCCAGCCCATCCTTAGAACTTTATCTTCTAATACTTTTGCCTTATCTATTAAGTGTTGTGTTGGTTAAGTCCAAATAGAGGGATTCCAGATTGCTGCTTATAACAATAGCTCAACAAAGAAATCCCATCAAATCTGTTTCATTTCAAGCTTATCTTCCATCCATATCTCTCTATTCTGGATTTGATCATATAAATGAAGAAATCCATGCTAAAGACAGAAGAGTAGTAGTTGATGATAATGATGATGATGATGATAGTACCCAAACTGATGAGATCATAAATCCATTGAACTATTACATTTATCCATTATTCCTTATAGTTATCTGATGCTTCATCATGGCAAAGAGGTGTTCCTGAGTTCCTGAAATATATGCCGATAAAGCACAAGCTTTTACACATCCCTTCAAGCTAGAAAAGCTTCCATTACAAGTCTGAGGGAAAAAAGAAAACTATATATCAATAATTCAAAGACTAGCCTACCTAAGTTTAGGAAGACTCATTACCAGAAAGTTTAATTTAGTTCAACAAAGCATTCATAAAGTACCAATTTTATGTTGGACCCAGTGCTAGGCACTGAGTACACAAAGACAAAAACAATAAGGGCTCCACCCTCACAGAACTTACTTCTTGAGCAGTTAACACTTCATTAATGTCTTTGACCAGATCAACTTATGAAGATCATCTTATGAATGGACTGTGATGTAAATCAGTGGAGGAATACCCCTAGTGATAAGCATCGTGAAGAAAAGCATTGGACTTGGATTCTGATACTTGGTAGTGGTGTGTCCATGCGCCAGTCATTTAACCTATATGAACTTCAGTTCCATATACAAATAGGGACAACAATACCTATAGTGACCTACTTCAAAGGGTCATTGTGAAATATTCCATGAGATCATATATTCAAAGTGCTTTGTAAAACTTTCTAGCACTATATGTCAGCTGTTGTTATAACAACATTCCCCTTCTAGGTAAGAGCCCTTTGGAGGTAATATATGTGTGTGTATTAAAAGCATACATACAAAGACCAAGGTAGGTGATATATATGTGAAAGACAGAGAATTAAAATAAGTTAAATAAATTCATAGATAATCTGGAGTCCATAACAGATTATTGAAAGATATTGGGAATGTTAGGAACTTGAAGGTTAGTGGTCATTACTATCCTACAAACAATCCTTTAGTTTGCTATCAGAGACAGAACACTGGGCTGCAGGAATCATAAAACTGACCCTTTCTGACATTTCTCATGTTCTTATAAAATATTAAAGGTATTTGAAGGATGTGAGAATTGACTATCACAAGAAACTGTATCATTAACTAGAATCCTTTAAATTATTTCAGCACTTAAAAATCCCAACTGAAGACTAATGTGATAATTTTTGTCCATGATGAAAAGATTTCCCAAGAATTTGGTGGGAAAGCTATCCAATTTGGTTTGAGTAACAACACTGCTGAAAACATTTGGCTTAGTAGAGAAACTTATGCTTAAGGGGAATTTTAAGATGAGCAGATTTCCAAATTATTGTCTTAAGTCACATACACACACATAAATTCTGCATATTTATTCACTCAGAATTCTTCATAGAGGCAGTTTTTAGCTCTCTAAAGCAAATTCAAACTCAAACTAAAAGAAAACATTGCTACCTCTTTTCAGTGCTGCTGATGTGGGGTCATGGCTTTTTTGACTAGGAAATTATTTTCCTATGCCATGTTTAAAAAAATAATCCTCACATTTTCCTTTGGATTCCACCTCAGTCTTTTCCTTTGAATATGACAAACTTTATCACATTTTAAGTTTGGTGATGGTGAGATCAGCCTGAGCAGACCAGAGTTTGGGAATGCATCAGTTTTCTTCTGTCGTCTTTGTTGATCTTTTTCTGTGCCTATTTTTTTTCATCTCTAATTCTTAATGAGACTTCCTCCTCCTCCCCAGGATTCTCTATTTAAACAGCCTCAGCTCTTGATTAATCAGTAATTAGAGGAGGAGTCATACTGCTTTCAGGTCTCTAGTATCTACTTTTCAGTTCAAATTTGACAGTAAAGTAGAAATTCAAAGAAGGCTATTGATATTTTGCTCAAGATTATCATTTTATTGTAACTGAAACAACCCTAGGAAATATAAATAAAGAGATCTTTAGACCCAAATCTGAGGTCAAATTTGAAATATCTGGCAATTAAGCCAAATATTTCAGTCTCTTTTTAGCTATAGACCTAGAGAGTTCATTCCTGATGAGAATAATCATTATAAAACACCAACTTTCTCTTCTTGCCCATTCCAGTAAAGGACACTTTGCTAGCAACTTCTCTGTTTATCAAAATGAGAGAGACCAACTTTAAGATTCTGAGGAAGCCCACCAGAGTTGAGCTTTGGTAATGTGAATTACCCTCCATTTCCCTTTCGAAAACTGACATCAACAATAACAATAACAATGATGACTAGTATTTACATAGTACTTGAAGGATTATAAAGTACTTTACCTATGTTATCTCATTTGATCCTCACAATGGTCCTGTGAAGTAGATGCTGTTGTTATCCCCATTCTACAGAATAAGACTAATAATTATGCTCTCAATAAGTGAAACTTCCATTAAATTGTAAAATATGACCTACATCATGGAGAGTGTACACTATTGGGTTCTGTGTACATAATCTTAATTTGACAGAAGCCAGGGAATCTTTCACTTTGTGATTAGCATTTTCTTCACTCCATCTATAAGGCAGTTTAATATCTAGTTTAATATAAAGAAAAGTAAACTAGTTTGGTTCCAGAGTCACTGCAACATTGCTAGCCTGCATTATAACATATGTTGATCTTTTTTCGGTTGATGAAATATTTGTGAATTTCCCAGAGCATCCAGAGAGCACTTGGAGAATATTCCCCAACCATCTAGCCATTTACTGGTTCAACCATCTTTTCAAATATATTACCTCTCCAAATTGACTGGCAGTACTTCTTTCTTTTTCTGCCATGCTTCCTACAATCCTTATTCTATTTTACTCTGGCAAAAGCTATTAAATAGGAGAGCAAGAAATCCAGAAAGATGAATCACAGTGCCTCTGTGTATTTAAGGAATAACATGATGCTCTTTCCACTACACCAAGATGCTACCTATGTACCTACAATCCTTTTTCTAGATCCAAATATTAGTGATTACATCTGATATTCCAGTGGTATGTATCCTACTGCCACCAGTACAAACTGGCATCCTTACATGCCTTCTCAGCCTTCATGATTCTTGCCCATGAATTTTTGCAAGTCCACCACAGATGATTCATCCACTTTACTAGAGGCCTTCCTCTGGTTCTTTCAGTATTTCATAGAAACCAATGCAATGCTCAAGTTAGTCATCTCTTACTCTTCACTCTTGGTGTATCATGAAACCACTTCCTTTTCCAGTCATATATTTCCTTTTTCTCTTAATATAAATTTATTTATTTTTAGTTTTCAACATTTACTTCCACAAGATTTTGAGTTCCAAATTTTCATCCCATCTTGCCCCTCCCTCCACTCCAAGATGGTATGCATTCTGAATACCCCTTCCCCTAGTCTGCCCTCTCTTCTATCTCTCTCCCCCTTCTCTTATCCCCTTCCCCTTCTATTTTCCTGTAGGACAGCATAGATTTTTGTACCCCATTTCCTGTATTTCTTATTTCCCAGTTGCATGTGAAAACATTTTTTTAAACATGTGCTTTTAAAACTTTGGATTCCAAATTTTCTCCCTTCCTCCCTCCCCACCCACCCTCACTGAAAAGGCAAGCAACTCAATATAGGTTATACATGTGCAGTTATGCAAAACACTTCCATAACAGACATGTTGTGAAAAACTAACTTTATTCCCCTTAATCCTATCCTGCCCCCCCATTTATTCTATTCTTTCTTTTGACCCTGTCCCTTCTCAGAAGTATTTGCTTCTGATTACCCCCTTTCCCAATCTGCCCTCCTCTCTATCATCCCCTTGCTCTCTTGTCCCCTTCCCCCTGCTATTTTCCTGTAGGGTAAGACAGATTTCATCATCATACCCAATGAATGTGTATGTTATTCCCTCCTTAAGCCAAATCCTATGAGAATAAGGTTCACTCATTCCCTCACACCTTCCCCCATTTCCCTTCCACTGTAAGAGCCTTTTCTTTTCTGTTTTTTGTGAGATAATTTACCCCGTTCTACTTCTCCCTTTCTCCTTCTCCACATATAATCCTCTCTCATCCCTTAATTTTGTCCTCCAGAAATGACCCTTTCATCTTCAACTCACCCTGTACCCTCTCTCTCTCTCTCTCTCTCTCTCTATCCACATACATACATATAATTTTTTCCCCCAACTACCCTAATAGTGACAAAGGTCTCATGAGTTAAAAATATCATCTTTCCATTCAGGAATGTAAACAATTCAACCTTAATAAGTCTCTTATGATTTCTCTTTCCTGTTTACCTCTTCATGTTCCACTTGAGTCTTGTATTTGAAAGTCAAATTTTCTATTCAGCTCTGGTCTTTTCATCAAGAATGCTTGAAAGTCCTCTATTTCACTGAATGACCATTTTTTAACCTGAAGGATTATACTCAGTTTTGCTGGATAGGTGATTCTTGGTTGTAATCCTATATCCTTTGCCCTCCGAAATATTATTTTCCATGCCCTGCAGTCATTTAATGTAGAAGCTGCTAAACCTTGTGCTATCCTGATTGTGTTTCCACAATACTTGAATTGTTTCTTTCTGGCTGCTTGTAATATTTTCTCCTTGACCTGGGAACTCTGGAATTTGGCTACAATATTCCTAGGAGTTTTCCTTTGGGGATCTCTTTCAGGAGAATCAGTGGATTCTTTCAATTTCTATTTTGCCCTCTGGTTCTAAAATATCAGGGCAGTTTTCCTTGATAATTTCTTGAAAGATGATGTCTAGGCTCTTTTTTTGATCATGGCTTTCAGATAGTCCAATAATTTTTAAATTCTCTCTCCTGGATCTATTTTCCAGGTCAGTTGTTTTTCCAATGAGATATTTCACATTGTTTCCTAATTTTTCATTCCTTTGGATTTGTTTTACAGTGTCTTGATTTCTCATAAAGTCACTAGCTTCCAATTGCTCTATTCTAATTTTTAAGGAAGTATTTTCTTCAGTAATCTTTTGGACTTCCTTTTCCATTTGGCCAATTTTGCTTTTTAGGGCATTCTTCTCCTCATTGGCTTTTTGGACCTCTTTTGCCATTTGGGTTAGGCTATTTTTTAAGGTGTTATTTTCTTCAGTATTTTTTTGGGTCTCCTTTAGCAAGCTGTTGACTTGTTTTTCATGATTTTCTTGCATCACTTTCATTTCTCTTCCCAGTTTTTCCTCTACTTCTCTTACTTGCTTCTCAAAATCCCTTTTGAGCTCTTCCAAGGCCTGGGACTGATTCATATTTTTCTTGGAGGCTTTGGATGTAGGAGCTTTGACTTTGTTGTCTTCTTCTGGTTGTATGTTTTGATCTTCTTTTTCACCAAAGTAAGATAATATAGTCTGACTCTTTTTGCGAGGTTTGCCCAAGATCCCAGCTAATTACAGTTTTAAGCTCTTTGTTAAGGTAAGAGTCTGCTTCCAGTGTGGAGAATGTACTGTTCCAAGTTTTAGGGGTTTGTACAGCTGTTTTCAGAGATACTTGTAGGGACCTGTAAATTTTCAGTTCTCGCAAGGTGGTATGATAAGGGGTGAGGTATTTGCTCCTTTCCTGGGCTGTGCTCTGGTCTATGAGTGACCACAAGCAGTCTTTTCTCTCTTGGAACAGTGAGGAGAATTTCCTCTCCCCAGTTACTACAAGC